AATTACCAGTGCAATTAACTATAAGTACACCAGCACCACAAACACACACGCACACATACACAGCTGGACGCCCACCAGACGACAACTTTGAAGACGACGCCTCGACTTCGATTTCGGTTCCATGAATCTACAGATACATAGATACTTATATACATTTTATAGATACACACACACATACACATGCTACGCTGCACTTTGTGACCCAATTTGAATTTATTTTTCATAAGTTTCTCGCAGTTATTAAGGCGAATTTTGTTTTTACAACGCTTGTTAGGCATTCAGAGTTTTTGCTATTAATGGATCATTTGGTCGCATATTGAGTGATATATGAATGCATTAATCTTAGTTTATGTTTATTGCCATATGTTATGGCCGTGTGGGTATCGAGTTGTATGCAAATCGTGCAACGTGAGACCTTATTAAAACCACAAATAAGGCATAAAGATCCAGAGATGACAATTTATGTGAGCTATATGCAATTTTATGACTGTTTTATAAAATGATCCAATCGGATAAATAAAAATAGATATATTCAACTATCCGTCTATTACCAGTCAGTCGAAAGATATCATAAATGATCATAATGCATTTGGGATATAAATTAAGCATAAAAATGCATATATAAAACTCAAACATAGAATGATTTATAGTATGAACATAAACATGTTGGGGTGCTTAACAGGCAAGTGCGTAAATGCAGTTTGTTCAGGGACTATTTTAGGGGGGGTAGGGGGAGTTTTTCAAAAAGTAAAATACTCCTTGTCTGTATATTGTACGTATATACGAAAGTTTATATACCACATTTGGTGTATCGAACTCTTATAATCTTCGAGGTATGCTTAAAAAATCATGTCTCATGATCGATATTTATCAAAGTGAGAGGAGATATTGAAGAAAAAGAATGAAAAACTTGTTCCTGGCATGGTAAACAAGAGTATATATTTTAAATTTGAAGTCTCTGGCTTTTGAATTTTACAAGATGAACGCGTTCACACAGAACTGATCATAATATATACATATACCTAATGGGGTAGAAGATGCTTTTTGCTGCCTGTTACATTTGCACATGAGCATTATATCCTTCTTTTAGGGTTGAAAGCAAAGATTCGCGAAAAAAATATTACTCAAGATAATGTGAAGTATTTAAATAAATAACAAATGCATAAATTAAGTTTTCAAATTGAAATGTGCCACATATTAGGCGTATGCATGTGCAGATATTTCTTAGAAGATTATTTTTATATACACACATGTACTAATTTTAATGTCTGCTGTTCTAAAAACTTTTCTTCATTAATCTTCTCACTTTGCTCTTGTTTCTTGTTATGCTAAAAATATTGAAGCTGTCAAGTGCATAACCATTTGCCCAACAACAAGAGCAACAATAACAAGCAGAACAACAACAATGGCATCAAGTGAACGCCAAAATTACAGAGCAACTAAAAATGTTTCAGGCATTTAACCCGAACTGCATGGTAAAACTTGCCCGCTTCTCTCGCCTGTTTAAACTTTGTTGACTTGTCACCCCGCCTGCTCATCTGCCACGTCGTCTGCTTCTGCTGCTGCTGCTGGCTGTGTCACAGCGCTTAATCTTTATTAATTACAGTGGAATAATAAGGCAGCAACAGCAGCAGCACAGGAGAGATAGATGGGAGCTAGAGCTGCTCGTGGGCATGGCGCATAGTTTGGCAGCCAGACAGGCAGGGCCCATAGCCACGTCCAACCCCAGCCCAGGCCCACCAACTGATTAATGCCGCAGCCAAAGAGCCAACAAGCAAATATGCCACATGCAACAGCAGCAGCAGCAACAGCACCAACTTTGATGGCTAGGAATTTAAGCAGCGCGAAGGGTTTTTGGTTTTGGTTTTTAGGTTTCAGTTTTGGTTCTGTGTGTTGGCTTTGCCTTTGGCTTGGGGATCTGGCTCTTGCTTTGGTAGCAAGTGCGTTGTAGTTGCGCTCTCTGGCGTGGCGGCGCATTCATCAACGTCGGCGTCAACAAATGCCCTCCACATGCAAAACAAGACTCCGAGCTGCGCGCTGCCAAATGCACAACGGCGCAGTCAGCCATAGAATGGGAATAAGAATGGGAACGGGAATGGGTCCGAAAAGCATATAAAAGGCGGTGAGGCTAAATTAGATAGTAGAGAGCATAGTAGCTATAAAAACCATTTGATCCTTTGTGCGCGCCGGCACCGCCTCTCTATACCTGTATATGTGCGTGTGTGTGTGTGTGTGTGTCGACCTTTTTTCCAAGCTGCGCCCGTCGCCTAATTACGCCTCTATTTTGGGCTAATCAGCAGCAGCGTTGACCCCGACTCCACTGTTACCGGCAAAGAGACAAGGGTCAGCTGCGCGTCATGTAAATGAAGTTGCTTTGCGTCTTGTGCCTGGACCCAGCAGCAGCAGCAGCAGCTGCGCGGGAATTTAGTTAAGGGGCAAAGGCTTGGTAAAGGCTTTGTCTATGCTTCGAATACCCATTTGGCTGTCAATCAGTTTTGGGTGCTGTGCAAATGTTTGTCAAATTCTGCGGCCGTTTGCATATTTGCACTTCAGCTTAGTGCAATGTAAATGCAACTGAGATAACTGAGAGACAACTGGGAAGAGCAATTATATATGCGCATAGCTGTTAATAATCATTGAATCAATATGCTGACAATTTTCTCACGCACAGAGATACAAACGGAGCCGCATATTCAAATGAGATGCAACCGTCTCACTCCGGGCACAGACCAGGACAATGACATCAGCTCAAGGGGGTTCAGCTCGAGCGAAGAAAGTCAACGAGTCGAGCAGGCGGAGGGATTACAAGGGGTCGATTTGTGTCGGTGCGCCGAATTTTAACTAAGACCATGCAAACCATCCAAATATGAAAGGGGTCTCTGCCCGAACCAAGCGTCCCCGTGATGTGGCTGTTGATGCTGATGCCAGAAAAAAGGATTTGTAATTTGAATTTTAAATAGCAGCCGCCGCGACAGGAGCAAAAGTCGCAGCAGCAGCAGCATCAGCATCAGCAGCCGCAGCCGCTGTATATTGTATTTACTGCTGAATTAATTTCCACTTTTATTTTCATTTCTTTTTCATTTTCTGTGCATCGATTTGTAAAGGAAATCGCAGAACCAGAACCAAGCCAGAGTCCCAACTCTTTCATGCTCTGCTGTTTGCTTAGGTTTCTCTATTAAAAGCAAAACCTTTTTTATGTGATGCGTTTTTTTCTTGGGTTTTCTTAAAAGTTTTTGACAGACGCAGTCATATGTAAATACATTTGCTCGAGAAAAAAAAAACTGAAAAAGGAAGCTAGCGGAAAAGGGGTGTATCGAGCACGAAAAACAGGCAGCTGCTAGTTCAAATTTCAATTAATATTTTCTGCCATTTCTCGGGATTTCGTCGATTTTGGTTGTGGAAAAAGGCGTAACTAACGGTCATAAAACCATTTAAAAAATGCAAAGGCAAAATTATTCTAAGTGCATTTTCAGCTCTGGCAAAAGAATCAATTTAGCTCTGGCCCACAAGTAGACAACGCCCAAGTCCTGCTACACGCAAAGCCCCACCCAAAATGCGTCTGTCCTTCTGGCAAGCGTTGATTGCTTCAATGGCAGAATGTTCAATTGCAGCAATAATATTGCAACTGACATCGATATGTGCCATTTGATTTGCATAATTCTAGCAGACAGCACAGCACAGGTCGATATAGGGGACCGAAGACTGCGGGGAGGGATGCCTAACCCTTGCTGCGCAGCCCTGTGTGCCATGTGAGCCCTGCCCAGAGAGAGAGAAAGAAAAAAAAAACCAACTTGCAAAATATTGACAGGCAGGACATGCCGAACGTCCTGTGCACAGGAACCAGGAACTGTGAGCCGCTTAAGCTGGCAACGGGCGCGCCCCTTTCGCTGCCCTGCTGTCTGTTTGTATTTTTGCAAATTCATCGATAATTGGCAATTTGAAATGGCAACATCAACAAGAAGAGACAAACGGCAAACAGAAGACAGTAGACAAAGGCGCGACGTGGCAGGCAGGGGTTGCTTTTGACTCTTTGACTTTGGCACATTGCCCTCAGGTCTGCCCCTCCGGCTACCCTTCGAGCGAAAAAATTAAAAAAAAAAACATATCGGCTTATGTCAAGGGCGCATTGCATTTTGGCAACAAACCTCTCATAATGCCAAGCTGATAATAACCTAATGACATTTTAATTGCACACAACAAGTTAATTAAATTCATTGTGTTTATTTTCGAGCCGCCAGTCAAAACCAATTCCAATCAATGCCAAATTTGATAACTTGTTGACTTGATGGCCAAATCGTTGCCAAAAATGTGGTTTTGTTATGCCATATTGTGATTGTCCGCACGGTGGCATCAATTAACGTCGCGCATTTAATGGCCAAACAAAAGAACTATAGATATTATTAAAAATGCATATAAAAGAGCGAGACAAGCCGCGTCAAGCTGAGGCGAGTAAAGACTTTAAGCACAAAACCCAGCTTGGCCTTAACAAAATATATGTAAATCTTTTCATAATTTATTTACAACACGGAAATTGGGCCCGATATTGATGGATGCTCAATTGCAATTCGAAGTTAGATGAGGAGCAATTAAACAGCAAAAAGCATCTTTCAAAACGGGTCTCTTATATTCAGGCTTTACTGTCTATTGCCGTATTGTTTCTTCTTTCATCGATGCGGAGCCAGAAACTATTAAAGTGGTTCCGAAACGTTAACACAACAGACAAATTAATAGCCCACGTCTTGATGCCAAATGAAATCGATTTGTCTAACATTTCATAGTTGTATTTTTTTCATTTTTTTTTTTTGCTTGCTACCTCGAAAGTTTGTTTGAACATTACTTTCAGCCATGATAGATACATATGTATATATCCATATACCTTTACGTAGTCGAGGTTATATAGAAACCAAATTGTTTGCTCGTTTTAGTCTCTATGAAGCATACATTACTTTAACATATAGATATATATCTAATGAAATTCCATCGTTTTGCTTACATTTCAGCTGACTGGCACATTTCTCTCAAATTTACCAAAAAGGTAAGCAAAATTACAACTTGGTAACATGCCAAAGAAAAAGAACAAGGGCCCCAATGCCCCAAGTGGCAATAACAAAGAGAACAAATACATTGCAACTTTTCCTTGGGCGCTTCGAGGCAAGTCGCCAGTCTTGGACTCGGGTCTATGTCTCGGCAAAACTCTTTCAAGTTTTTTTGACAGCTGCTGTCAAATGTTGAAAGCCAGTCAGCCCCAAACCCCATACCCCATACACAGAACCATACAGAAAACCAAAACAAGCCAGAGTCAGCCATGGCCTAAAGTGCCCCCAAAGTCCCTCATTCGTCGCATATCAGCGAACATCTCTATACATATGTACATACATAGATATACGTACACATTCTTGTAGCCTTGGCTCGCTCTTTAACTCTCTAAGCAAAGTTTTCAAAACTAAAACAAAAAAAAAAACAGATACAAAAAAAAACGTAAAACAATAAAAAGCATTTTATAGTTTTCATGCACGAAGTCCACGAAATGAAAAATTCAACAATTTAAACTGACATTTAAATTGATAGTTCAAGAGATGCACACGACAGATATCAGAGAGAAGAAAAAAAACGGCGAGAGAGAAAACAGAGAAGTATATATGATGCTATAGGGGCGTGGCAGATGGGCAAACACACACATACACATACACGCACACACAGATAGTCAGACTCATATGCTCTGCGTGCTGCAATGGGCGACGTACTAGAACTTGTAGTTTTTGTTCTTGTTATTGTTGTAGTTGCGGTTGCTGCGGCTTTTGGCTGCTGATGATGTTGCTGATGTGCTAAAGTCTTGTTGTTGCCAGCCCAACAGCATTCAAAACCATTAAAATATTTCAACTAGAGTTGCAGTTGCTGTCGGAAATAATCGGAAGACGCAAAGGATGTGCGTAGATGTCCGTCATTGTTATTGCATTTGGCAGGATGAGAGGTTGAGAATGACAGAGAGGGGGCGAAAGAGAGAGATACACCACGCGAGAGCTTCTAGAGACAAGAAAAAGATATTCTGAATTTAAGGCCTAAGCCTCAAAATGACAGAGTATATCAATCGGAAGACAAAAAGGATGCGCGAAGTTGTGCAACACTTATTCAACTTTGCACTCTAAGATATAGATGAAGTGGGATAGAGAAAGAGAGAATGAGAGAAATGAGAACTTCTGGAAATATTAAAATCATATTATCTGAGCTAAAGCCCTTATTAATATTCTGAAAAAAAAGCCATTTAATCCTTTCCGTTTCATGCATTCAATTACAATTGACATTTATATAAATAGGCTGTCGAAACTGAATTGATAATTGAAAGTTTCTGAAAGCTTCTAGCGAGATTAATTGTATTTAAAATTATTAAGTAGTTTTCCATACAGATTTCAGGTTTTAAGCTCTGGCGCTATTATGTAACGTTCTATTGATTCATAGTCTAAACCTCAACATGGCAAAGAGTCTATAAATCAATGCTGGCTGGCAACCACATTGGTTACACACACACACGTGCAAATATACATTTATGCATAGATATGTGTATTTATAAAGCGTGTTACCAAACATATTATCTAACACATTGCGCACATATATTTCTTAAATAAACATTGCATTTCCACACTGGCATTTTCATGCATAAAACAAAACGCGAATTCGAAATAAAAATATTGCAAGGCAGAGAGAGAGAGAAATAACGAACGACCACTCAGTGGGCAATATGCGGCCACATAAGTTCGTGTATCTGTGGCTGTATCTCGCTAACCGTATCTGTATCTATATGTGGTATAAGCCGTGTGGCAGCAAGTATCTATATCTGCTGACAGGCTGGCAAAGCCAAACTCAACATTGTTGTCAACAGTTAGCCGCCTTTGTCTCGTGCGTGTGCGCTATCAGCCAAGTTGCAGATGCAGAGATATCGGCTACTTCATGGCGCATAGTTCGGTCTCTCCACTAATCTTATAATTAGCATTCTTGGCAGATAACAACAAATGCAACTGCAGCAGCACCAGCAGCAGCAACAACAGCAACAACAACAACTTGCTGCCTGCTTGGACTACAAATAACAAACACTTTGCAATTACGAGTACAACCGAATGGCTTGAGCTGGGGGCAAGTCGCGTCGAGTCGAATCGACTCGAGTGGAGTCGCCTCTTAATCGGATTGCATGATAACTGCACATTAATTAAAAAAAATCAACTAATACTTTTATGAAACGAAACAGTGCTAATTGAATTATTGCCGCCAGGCACTCGCTTCGTTTGCTTTCATTTCGTTTCGTTTCGTTTCGTTTTCATTTCGTTTTGTTTTCTTGTGTTACAATCAGCTTGTTTAATTGGCACTTCTCTTTCACTCTCCCACTCTCGCTCCCTATATATCGTGCTTTGTCTCTCTCGCGATCCGCACCGAAATTTAGAATGTACCGACTGGAAATTCCGCACCCGCAGCGACATATTGCTTACGCTTCCAGGAAGACATAAAAATGCCAGAGACTCGAGAGACTGAGAAAGTGAACTTAGGATATACCCGCCTTCTAACGGTAACCAGCTAAAGCTTGCTCAAACCGGACCCCAGACCCGGCCGAAGTTCAATTTTTTTTTTTTTTTGGCAATCCATAAACCAGCAAAACAGCACGAAAACAATAGCAACAACAACAGTCAAGCTCGGTTTTCAATTGCAACAGCGACGCTCGCATGTTCTTTTTTTCGGGATGTAATCCGAGAGCTGCCACAACAACAACAACGACGACAAGAAAAACAACAACTTAAAGAGGTAGCCAGATAACCCAACCATTGTCGTTGTTGTTGTTCTTTGGGGCTGGGTCTGGGTCTGGGTCTGGGTCTGGGTCTGGGTCTGGGTCTGGGTCTGGGACTGGGTCTGGGGCTGCGGGCTTAGTCACTTGGTTCTTGGCTCGCTACTTGGCCTGGTGCTCCTTTCATGGCTCGGCATATTAGTTTTCAAGTTTTACATTCACATTGTTCATTATGATGAGCCACCGAACACGAAAGAACAAAACAACAACGAGAAACAACAACAACACAAACGACCGCAACAACAACAACTGCAATCGGCTGCAAAAGACGAGCCCAAAAATTGACAATGGACGTTGACGCTCAAGTATCTGCAAGTGCACGCAATGTACTTCGTTTTGTATCTTTTACAACACAGGCAACAGGGAACGGGTCGGATAGGGGGTGAAGGGGGCCCTGCTGACTTGAGGGCGGGTTTGAATTAGGGCGGTGTAGACATTTCAACAGCATGTCGCTTCATTTAAGTTTTTTGCATCAATGCACTCGTGACAATTTGTCATCAAAAAAAGCACAAAACAAGAAAAGAAATGCTATGTGTAGTAGCCCCATATATTAAATTAATAAAAGACGTCGCTCAGTTGGCATACAATGTGTGGGTGGGTGGCACACAAATAAGAATATAAATTATATGCGTGGAATTGCAGGTTCAGTTGAGCTAACTAACTAACTATATCCATCTATCTATAGACACAAAGTGAATCACTATGAAAAAGAAAAAATACTCTGAACAAAAGCTCTTAAGTTGCAGCTAAAATCATGGGAGATTAGTAATACAAAACCTTTCGCATCAACAAAATATGTATTTATAATTTCCATATAATTTTGACAGAGCAGCAGGAACCACTTCAATAATATTTATGGCCCAAATATGCAGAATCTCGAAGGCATTAATTTTTTATTATCTTCCGCATCCATTGAGTAGCTTAATGAAAGTTAAATTGCATGAATATAAAAAACCCATGTTTGGTATTACCCGGGCGACGGCCCCTCGCTGTGCACCTGCTACGAGATTTCAAATTGAACCAAATATGAAAGAAAATCATATATATTTTTATAAAAACAATAACAATAGCGCCAAGAAACAGCTAAATGTCAGTAGTGCCCACTTAAACTTAAACTTATGCATATTTATATAATTCATTTTTAAATACATATTTAAATTCACACAAACGGCAGACGGCAGACGCAGAGACAGCTCCCAAAACATACTATATTAAATATCAAGATTTTATGATGCATAATGCGAGCAGGAAGGCATGAGGGAACCATGAGGCAGGCAAGAGGGAGGCATGAGGTAGGCAGCCAGCAGAGAGAAGGTGGATTTTTATTACCAATAATTTTTAAATTTGTTGCGACGAGTGCAAGCAGGCAACTCGTTATAAATATAACCGCAGATCGAAATATCTATATACATATATATATATATATATATACATATATATAAATACGCATATATGTATTGCACATACACATAAATATTGGTATATTTATAGGGTATACTCGTGTGTGCGCTGCGTGTGCAAGTGAATTGATTGTAAAGCCGCCCGAACGTCCGACGCGATTATTTACGGTTTATTTTCAAGGCATCAGAAATAAATATGCGAGTAAAAAAAACACACACAACATGAATTTCTTTTTGTTTTAAGTTGTTTTTTTTATTTAACAAAAATATTGCATACTAATTTTAATACGTAACACGCGGGCTTTGAAGGCGCATCAGTCCAAAAATAGCCGCAAAGTGAAAAGATACAAAACAAAAAAAAAAAAGAGAAAAAGAAAGCCAACACGAATGCAATCATTGTGGGAAATTGAGAGCGGGCTGCGGGCAGCGGGCAGCGGGCGGAGCATATGCGAGAGCGGGATGGGTGAACGGATGATGGGACTCCGGTGGGGCTGGGTTGCACGGCAAAAGTGTCAAGCGACGACGTAGCGTGTGTATTTTTGTATTTTTGGCAGGTGGAAGCCACGACAAGTGCCACAAGTCGGCAGCGGGAACAGCCCCAACTGCATTCATATTTCAATATTTTGTTGCTCGTTTCGTTTATTTGTTGCTTTCCATTGTCTATTAATAGACGAGGCGAGTAGCGAGTCGCGCGGATGGTGAAAATGGGCAGCATGCACGGAAAACACTGAAAATTAATTTCCACATAATTTTTACGAGCCAATTACTCATCGACACTCTTCGAAGTGTATATCCTAGGGCAGTGGA